TTCCAGCTCAATGATTTTATGATTATATGACTTAAAAATATTGATCTTTGACTGGAGTACTGGCCAATGATTTTGATAAGGCTACTCTTTTGCAGTGCCTGGAGGCTGTGGGGGCCTGGATGGGGGACAACAGGCTTCAGCTGAACCCTGGTAGATGGAGTGGCTGTGGATACGGGGGGCCTCAAGATCTAGGAGCTTATCATCTCTGGTTCTAGATGGGGTTACACTGCCCCGGACAGACCCGGTGTGTAATCTGGGGGTCTTCCTAGACTCATGACTCCTGTTCAATGAGCAGGTGGCAGTCGTGGCTAGGAGAGCCTTTGCACAACTTTGTGTTGTGTATCAGTTATGCCCCTTCCTGGATCAGGAGGCCCTCCACGCAGTCACTCATGCCCTGGTCACCTCCCATTTGGATTTCTGCAATGCGCTGTACATGGGGCTACCTTTGAAGGGTATTTGGAAGCTACAGCTGGTGAAAAATGCAGCAGTGCAGACAGTTTTGAATGCTCCTAGGGTGGCACATATCACATCTCTGTTACATGAGCTGCATTGGATGCCAGTTTGCTTCTGGGTCCAACTCAATGTGTTGGTTATTGCCTTTAAAGCCCTTCATGGCACAGGACTAGGTTACCTGAGGAGCCATCTCACCCCTGTTATATCAGTCTGCCCCACTCAGTCCAGCCGAAGGTACTTCGGCTGGTGGAGTCTAGGAAGAGGGCCTTTTCTGCCGCGGCCCCCATCCTGTGGGATAGCTTACCGCCTGAGGTGTGGCCTGCCCCCGCTCTCCTGGCCTTTTGGAAAAGTGTGAAAACATGGCTATGCCAGATGGCCTGGGGCCTGATGGGGGCTCGCATTGTTGAAATTGGCTGGTGGGATAATCAATACTGCTCCCCTCCATCATCTTGAACTGTATATAGTCTTTTTATACAGTATTGTTATTAGCTAATTTGAATATGGATATTTATATTTTCATTGTTTTTACTGTTTTGGATTTTCATCGTGAGCCGCCCAGAGTCACCCTCTGGGAGAAATGGGTGGCATATAAATTTAATAAATAAATAAAATAAATAATAAATAAGCAAATTGTTTCAAGGTAGCTGTTAAAAAGATTTTACACATTATTTCAGATACAATGTAGACTGAGATCACAGTCTCATGGGACTTAATGGAATACTGCAGTGTTTAGCTATAACAGGAGTCAAAGATACTTTTTAAGGAAGAAGCGTAATCCATGGTATCAGTCATGATGGAGACAATTCAGTAAAAACATTTGAGGCATATAAACTTCTATCCCTTAGCTATCACTCTAAAGTTGCAGGATGGGGGAATCTAGAATAAGAACTCGGGTTGAATTACATGACCCAATAACAATACTGAATATTTGTTCATACTAATAGTATTATGCTTATTCCCTTCATTGCTTTCTTTGTTTTATATAGTGTCTCTCAAGAACCAGTACAAGTGAGATTTTGTTACTGTGCTGGTAGTGACTAATTGGTCATAAAGTTCATGCCTCAGAAGCAGAAGATTCAAGGATAATTCCTGTTGTGCGTTCCTTGTCTCTCTGTTAATGCAATCAAGTATAGTACAGCTTGTTAGAACAATTACGGCCTTTATACAACTTGTATATCAAAGCAACTAAGTTGCCATTAAGGAATGTGTCTGCTTTTGCACCAGGAAGGATACTTGTGTATCCTTTAATCACTGTGTCTTCTTATCAGCTGTACAGGTAGTTCTTGATTCACAACGGTAATTAGGACTGGCAGCTCTGTCGCTAAGTGACATAGTCATAAAGCACAGGGTACGTGACTGTGCCAACTTACAGTTGCTGGTTGCCGTCATTAAACGAATCCAGCATGGTTGCTAAGCACAATGTCACATAGTCACCATTTGCAACCTCCTGCTGGCTTCCCCATTGACTTTGCTTGTTGGAAGCAGCAGGAAAGGTCGCAAATGGCGATCACACGACTGGGGGACCCTGCAAAGCATACATCATGAAGTCACGATGCAAACTCCATCATGATCAACTTGCATCCCAATGTCTGATGCAAATATCTAAGCATGTTGTTGGCATAATGTCATCAATGCACATGTATCATTGTGGTTTGCTGTAGACCCCTATGCAGCTAAGCCCAGACTGCTGTAAGACTAGGGAAAGTTTAGAGCATGCTGTCCCAAAGCCCTGTACTAAGGCAGAATGTATATTCACATTCAGTTATAAATGCTATGTATTTCAAGTTGGAGAAAGAAAGGGATGGAAATATTTCTGGGAATCTTGTCCCCACACTGAGATTTCCTTTCATTCTCAAAACTTGAAATGGCAGCTGTAATTTAACATTAAAGATTAAACTTCAATGGCATTTGTTATGGTTACAACTTATAAACCAGAATAACAAAAACTGAAAAGAGAGTAGAAAGAAATGCCCCCTGCCTTCCTTAAATTACACCAAAACAATATAATAAAGAGCATCAAGTTAGCCCATTTTGATTGATGGCATAGCTCTCCATGACTCAAAAGCCATATTTGATATCCAGTTAGTATTTACACACAACAAAAACCATGCATGTCACATAACTATTCCCTTATAGAAACTTTCCATCATTCATATCCCTCTCAACATAGCCTGTCTCCTTCCCCCACACCTTATAATCTGTGAAATGGATATTATTTGGCTCCAAATAGTAGCTCTAGGCTGTTCTGATTTTATTTCCTAGCCCAGACAAAAGTAATTGCTCTCCCCCACCCCCCGAAAATGGATTCATTGCCATTTCCTTAGATACAGGTAACTTGAAAGGAGCTTGATATAAGGAGAATGTTTCCCAAACTAGAAAACATTTTAATTATTGCTCCAAAGTAACAATGAGTCCATGGTTTGTATTCTGGCGCAGGCACATTGTATAAATAATGATCATAATTAACTTAACTCTATCTTGGGAGATTTTTATGGAAATATTTTCGTCTAGCAAATAAAAACCTGGCAGTAATGAACTATGTCCCAAAGGTATGTTTTTCACCTTTGTGGTGGCTTTATAGTGGCTCTCTAGATGTAGTTGAACCATAGCTCTAAGTAGTACTTTCAGTAGTTAGGGGTGCTGAAAGCTGAAGTTGAGAACCATCTGGAAACCCACAAGTTTCCTATGCCTGCTGGATCTATTTTTATCTATTGGTTTGATTCTGGACTACTTAAAAAAAAGGCCCATGAAAACATCATGATGCTTCCTCATAGAGGCTGTTAAAAAGTCATAGCAAGGTAACTCTAATAATCTTTCTAACCTCAGAATACTGAATAATTAATTGGCTGATTCTTGTATATTCCATGAACTAAAAAAAGCCAGCTTAATTTGCATCTCATATTGCTCCTCTCAATTCAAGAGATAAAGTTATGTGTGTAAAATTGTGCCTATTCAATTAATATGTCATTTCACAATTACTTGAAGAATAGATACTAAGGTCATCTAGAGGTGTGGGGTGAGGGATCATCAGGCCCAGCTGGACATGCTGTGGAAGTCTCGTCCTGGTGCCTGAAGGCTGTTAGAGTCTGGATGGTAGAAAGAGTAAAGCTGAACCCTTTACAGAGTTGCTGCTCTATTAGCTCTGATGTTGCTCTCTGTTAGCTCTTGTGGTGTCTCTCCAGAAGTTAACACTGCCCCTGAGGGAGCAAGTCCATGACTTGGGGTCCTCCTGGCCTCCTGGCTACTGTGGAAAGGGCAGCTAGAAGCTATGGCCAGAGGAGCCTTTGCCCAGCTGCAGCCCTACTTGAAGCAAGAGAACCTTGCTGTAGTGTCTCGTGTCTTGATCACCACACATCTGGATTACTGCAATGTGTTCTGCATGGCTGAAGACTTCTCAGAAACCTGGTTGTCAGTAGGTTTCTGGGGGCAGTTCAAAGTGCTGTTTTTGATCTATAAAGCCCTAAATGGCTTAGCACCAGGGTCCTCCTCAGGACCATCTCCTCCAATTTGACCCATTCAGGGTGTCTCTCCTGAGGAAAACTTTTACTAATGCCCCATTTCTGGAAAGTAAGGGGAACCAAGGCTTGGAGGCAATGTTCCTCTGGGATGGCCCTGGTCTTCTCGAATGATCTCCACTTGGGATATTGTCTCCATCCTTAACAGCCTTCCAAGCTGGTTACACCAAGTTATTCCAGAGGACTTTGGGGTGAATTACGATCTCATCAGGGTTGTGTTATATGATTTAAAATTAACTTAATTTTAACTTTAATTTACAGTGGACATTGTTTTGTTTTGTTTTGTTTTGTTCTGTAATGTAATGTAAAACAAAATATATAGTATTTTGTAACCTCCAAGAGTGGCAAGAAGTGGCAATATATAAATTAATTAAATACATACATGCATACATACAAACATCAACTTTAAAAGTCTTTCCTTTGAGAAACAATTGTTCTCAACAACATATTTTCTTTGCATCTTTCCTCTTTGCTTTGTCTTTTATTTTGCAATTATTAAATTCCAAGCAATACACCAGTCAATCAATTCAGTTTGTTTTGACTGAAGATCAGAAACAAATAAACAATCTCCTCCCAATAAAATGACATGGCCATGAGTTTTCTAGTTTTTATAAAGCTTTTATTGATTTTTACTTTGGGGTTTGAGGGGGGTGCTGTTTTTACTGTTTTGGGTGGCTACATAAGTCTTTTAAAATAAATACATAGCAATAAATAAATGTATATATCAAAATTGTAAGTATTGCCTAAAGAGGCTCTTGTGGGCATTCCACTCAATAGAGCCTCGGGCATTTATCTGCAGTTATTGATAGCTGCTGTGCACAACTTTGCAATAATGCAAGTAACAAAAGTGTTTTTGTCTGATAGGATAAAATTAATGTAGAAGTCACCAGACCAATTTGGCACATCTAATAACAAAGGAAAAAGGAAGCTTTTCCAGCTTCTCAGCATAAAAGCACCAAAGTAGCAGCATGTGAAGGATAAAAGCAAGCATCACAGCCAGTTTATTTCCTTTCTATCAAAGACATTCCTAAATGCAAGTTTTGGTAGTATTAAAATAAATGTCCTTGCCCTTTTTTTTTTTAAACAAAACCCACTATCCAAAAGGATATCAAGTCTGTTGTGACATTACTTACAATGCAATACTCCTGATAAAGCAATATATATATTTTTTAACAAATTCCCACTAGGGGGAAAAAAGGTGGGAGGGAGAAGAAATTCAAAAGAGCACGGCCGAAGTCAGCAACAACATCACTGTAAGGAGTCTGTGTTTGTCCTGAGAGAGAGAATATAAAGTGTCTTTCTTGCTGCTGGGAGTTTGCTGGGAATATTTGATGTAAAAGAGAAAAGGTGCCCAAACTGGACTTTGTTTCTTGCTTGTATCTGACTCCTTAGACTAAGCCTGCCTGAAGACTGTGGTGCAGACAAGCTCAGGAAAAGTAACCAGACTTTCTGGATGAAGAAAAAGAATTTAAACAATTGCACACTTCCATCAAGGTAATGCTGATTGTTTCCCTCTAATGCCATTTGAGATCCAATTTTGGGAAAGGGTGGGGGAGGGGGAGGGAGTGGAAGAAGAATTTGTATTTTGGATAATTTGGTGGTGGATAATTTGTATTTTGGATAATGATGTCAGTGGGGAGATGCTCAAAGGGAAGAAAATGTTCCACCAATTCTTTGCAAACTGATATATTCAAAGAGTTTGCAAACACACATCAATGGTGCCCCCAAAGTTTTGATAAATACTACCTGATGGCCTCAGAATAATTATAATTATAATTCTATAAGCATCTGTATATTTTCTCAGATATGCATTTTTCAGTCCAACCTGCACTTATGTGTTAAATCAAAATAGGACAAATATTGTGACAGCTTACACACTACCCTTACTCAGGATTCCAGAGAGAACTTTCCATAGGAAAAAAGCCCTCCTGAGAAACCAGGATGTGTACATGGACTGCTATAGTGTCTCGTTCTCTCCCTTTCTCCCTGTCCCTCCCCAAATGCTTTTGTGCTGAAGGCTGCGATGTCTTTAGCGCTTTGAGGAGCCCTCGCATTATCGAGCCTGCCGCAGCAGCTCACCTCCTCCCTGAGAGATTGGATTCTTGATAAGTTTCTGCGATGGGGTTTGTGTCAGGCTAGCAGCAACATGTACAGACTGCTCCAAGCAACATTTCAGAGAAAGAAATAAACTTCCTGAAAAAGGTTAGCTGACATTAACTGCATCCCATGAGCTGCAAGGAAGCATTTCAGATTTGGAGAAGCGATTGGGGAAATACCTTTAGGATGGGTCTCCTTTCCTTCCTTCCTTCCTTCCTTCCTTCCTTCCTTCCTTCCTTCCTTCCTTCCTTCCTTCCTTCCTTCCTTCCTTCCTTCCTTCCTCAGGTCCCCAAATCTTCTGGCAGATCAGAAAGCAATTAAAATGTCATCATTCATTAACATGTCAAATTGCAGCAAAAGGAATTCAAAATCGCAAGATTTTCCCTGGAAGATTCACAGCAAAGGTAATTAGTGCGTATGATACACGTGTTTGTCTTTGGAAGGCAAAGTGAGTTCTTGCCATCCTTGTTAAGGCAACCCGTAGTGTAGCTCAGCAATTACAATTACATCCCGGTTAGATGAAACAAAAGATAGTGAAGTCTGATTACTCAATTTGCAAAAAATGACTACACCCCTTTTCCCTACATCATTTTTCTGAGTTTAACCTCTTACTAAACTTTGAACAGACTTGTTTCTTATTTCTCTTTAATCTGATAAATTGCTTGGGAAACCCAAGAATCCTGGAGTAAAAAGCAACTGCATTTTCTCTTACCGTTATCAAAATGGCAGTATTAGTACAGACTGCACAGTGGTGGTATGCTAAAATGCTAGTCTTCACTGAATAATCAGGATTTTGGTTGACCTGAAGCAGAGAACCGTGGCACCTGGACTTAAATTCAGCCCATAGTTTCATTGAACATTTAGTCCAATTTTTATTATGGTGTCATTTTAGAGTTCTTGGATTTTGTTTTCACTCTCTCCTTGGCTTCCTCATTTATGTGTACAATTTGTCTTCATGCTGCTAGTGGTGTTTGGAAAGTTCATCTCCCATTGTGTGATGAAAAGGAACCCATTTTCTTTGTGGAAGATTCAAAGCAATTGAATCTTATATTAGGGTTAAGTTACTTTCTGAAAGAGAGCCAGTTTGGTCTAGTGGTTAAGGCACCAGGCTAGAAACCAGGAGACCGTGATTTCTAGTCCCTCCTTAGGCACAAAGCCAGCTGGGTGACCTTGGGCCAGTCACTCTCTCTCA